CAATTATATACTATTCTGTTTTTGCAGAGTGCAGCAATTATATGGTATAAACATTATTTCACTGAAAATAGAGATTTTCATTTGTTTACATATCCGTGAATAACACTGACAACTCACATATCGCAGAGCGAATTCTACAGAGCAACCAAGTGATTTTGATTGGAGTGAATGTCAGTGGGACTCAATATCCCAATTCTGTGTGGGGCATTTCAGGGACTGAATCAGAAGTCACCTGTTCCGTACCATTTAACATGACTAATTCTATTTTGAATAATTTGCGGTAAGTTTATGCTATGAGCTTAGGCCTTAGACAGCCTGAAGAGTTAATTGGAAAATATTTTGTGAGTCATAATAATCTCATTTACAAATTATGGACCAAACATTGTGGCTTGTTTTCATGCTGGTTACCAGAATTTCATGATAGATATATCTATATTTCACTTCTATCCAAATTAAATGTCCTGGTAAATCATAATACGATGTTTACTAAAAATGTCAAAACACGAAGGTGGAAGTTGGATGGCAAGTTTGTAAACAATAAAGGTTTTACCTATAATAAGCACCATGATGTTATCATCTTCAAAATGATGGAGAAAGTTTATGGCACTACAAAAGTCCAGTGGAAAATCATAGTTGCTCACTCCACAGCAGCTGTTGGAAATCTTTATTGTCGGGCCCAGTACAGCTCAGGTAAAGAAAGAAATTCTCAGACAGGCTTCCTTTAAAATTAGTTCATTAAAAATAAAAGCATTTTAAAGTGGAAACATGTCAGTTAAAGATTTATGACCTCTACGCAGAACCTCAAAGTTTTGTTAACTAAAAAAAACTCTCGAACCCAGGACAAATCGTTAATACACCAATGAGTCATCTGAACGAAATAAGGATAGACAGTGACCTCGATTTAATAGTTCTGACTCCAGATACAGGAGCTTTGGTGACTTTCATAACTCATGCACCTTCAGCACCGCTGTCAAGGAATTTGGATTGCTCTCTTGATCTTGTGAGTGAGAATTAATTATTTCAAACAAATTTTCTGGCATGCTTCATTTGTTCTACCATTCGTGAAGATCGTAGGTTCTAGACATAACACTGAATTCTAACTATCGATATCTCAGGTCAACTCTGTTAGTAAATCGACAGATTCAAAAATCTCAGCCGATGGGTTAATCTTCACCGAAGTTTATCACATTCGCAGGTGAGAACATCTTTAGAAAGTAAAAGTTAAGATTAAAATTATTTATCAGTAAACAAAATAGCTTCCATCCTACTTTCGTTTTTACGGACACAATTAACCTAAGTTGATTTAAGGCTGATGAAGTATGTGTTATGATGCATTATTCCTCCCTAATTATCTTATAGGGAAGGGGGGGGGGGGAGGGTAGGAGGGGTGATTAAATCATTGATTCAATTATTTTCAGTTCTGATTCTATGATAGAAGGAGGCTCCCGCTCAAAAGATGATTTAGTTTCACAACATGGTACTTGTGATTACTCAGTTCGGATTCAGAATTCAGTCCAAGAATCTCTTACAGTTACAGTGAAATTTTCGTTGCTCGGCAAGTATTTCTGTGTTCCTACAGCACTACACTATTTTGAACTTTTCTACCTAATGCTTTGGAAAATGACACAACGCCCTCAAAATGATTCCCACTCGATATTTCCATCAATAATTTAATTTTCTACACTTTCACGATCGGTCTCCGATTATTTCCCTGCAATATTGTGTTCCATAATCAAAGAAAGATTCGAATAACGAAATAAATAATATATTGATTTGCATGATTAATAATATTATGAATACTATCATAATTGATACAATATAAAGGAATTCGAGTAATACTGATATTTATATATGTCTTTTTTCTGGGATATCATTTGTAAACTTTCTCGTCGTTTAGGTGAAGCAGTTGTCATAACACCAGTTTTGGCAACAGTGGGACGACCAGCCATTTTGACAACTTATTTCACTGCCAGAGACTTATCCGACGTCAGGATCACATGGCAGAAAAGAAGTAAATAAGCGTTATCTAAGTCAACATTAGTAATTATGTTCGTAGTTACATGTTAGTAATTTTTTAATGATAATACTTTTTGAATGATCAAAACTGAAAAACTTTAATAATCACTTCAAGATGGAGGGTCAATAAATTGGGAAAGTCTTCCATCGGATCACCAGTGGCAGTACCGTACACTTATCTCTCCAATCGATGATAAAGGTGTGATGTCTACCAAACTCTTCATTCAGAGATTGACTTCTAGCGATGTTGCAGGTATAAAAATGCGATAGGTTCTTCAATAATTTAATTTTAGGATGTTAGGTATAATTAAATTAGTATAATTTTATTGTTTACTATGTACGTTGTATCTACACAGCTCACAGGCACTTGACCTATTTGATTATATCGAACATTAAATAAAATATCTTTATAAGTTAATAAAGTTTTAACCCAGAATGCAAAATTAAATTAAAAAATGAGTTTTTATATTTGAATTTGTCAATTTTATTTTTATTTTTCCAGACTACAGAGCAGTCATTTTCCTTTCGGGTCAACAGCAAACATGTGACATGATATGCATTAAGTCAGCTCAAGCAACAATTTCAAAAGTAAAGGCCGTTTTTGAAAGGTCGACTGCATTCTTTACAATGTCAGTCCTTGGAGACATAAAGCCATCGAGTGTATTCCTTCACTATAAAGGTTTGTTATTGTACTTTGTTGTACTTTTTCGGTTACAATTCACATTCATTGGTATTTTTTAAGAAATTTAATTTGTATGGACGTATGGTTCCGCAGTTTGAACTTCTACGAGAATACTAACAGAAGTCAGAAGGCCTAGTATAGCTGCGGCTGGCTGCAACACTATAAATAAATTGATAATATTAATAAAGTAAAATAACGCATAACAAATTTAGAGACAGTCGGTTCATGTACATATGTTTCTTACAGAATTAAAGTTAATTGTGTTTTGTAACTATAATGAAATCTTTCTCAGAAGGGAATAAGAATATTCCAGTATCCCTTCCAGACTTCTCTGCAGTATCGGGCCCCTACACAATCTCACATCGTTTAGAGGACGTTTACTTTTGTGACGGTGGTCATTACAGTTTCAGGTTTAAGTCATTCGAACTGCGCTAGCTTAGAAATTCCCTGAATGATCCATTCAACGGCGTATTTTAAATTTCGTCTTGATTATACATGATTTGTTCATTAATTCTTTTGCCGTCAAGGCCATTGCCAAGCAACTTATATTTTGAATTTATTCAAAGGCCCATCATATCACTATCAGGATCAAGTTGGAGACTGGATTCGAATTCAGTACTGACGAGACGAACTTAAAGATCAAACTACGCTGTAAACCACCTCGTACGCCTCCGAATACACTTTTGAAAAAGGTCAGTTTTATACAGATGTAATACTAATATTAGGTACAAAGCTCAGTTTAAAACTTGAATATAAATATGTTAATCTTCTCGAATTGATTACACTTTGACTTACAGATTAGTCCATTTTCTATCCACACTCAGTGAGTCAAGGATATTATTTTCAGGTTGAAATTGCTGAATCCGACGACTACAAATATGTTGTCACGTGCATTAACGAAGACCTTGTCTTAATGAACGAAAACGCGAAGGAAGTGATCTGCAACACATCTACTGGCTCATATCACACTAAGATTGATCTTAGTCCTTGTCTGAGAGTCATTGAACAAATTTACCCTTGAGCATTGACTCTGTGAAACATAAACTGGGATTGCAACTTGCAACTGCAAGGTTCAAATCATAGATCATATTTTTCGTGTAGTGTTTTTGAGTCTCATGATTTGATAGTTCTTTTATTCAAATTTCTGATTGTTTCTGAATAGACTCAGTGAAGACAAATTCTAATGGAAATAAATAGCTGAATAACGTATCGACATTTCTACGTCATACTCATATTCTGAAATAGTATTAATTCAATTATAACGATCAATATTCACATTAAAAATTTGACGACGAAATTTATTTCAAACAAAATATATAACTGTAAAATAGTTATCAACCGTAAATAGTTTTTAACGAAATCGGAGCAAATATGAACATAAAACTGACAAAATTGGGCTTATCTGAAAATTAACGAATAGCGTGACGTTATACAGGAGATAAAAAATTAAAAGAGATAAAAGAATTAAACGAGAATATTACTATTTACACGTCACTCAACTAAAAACTGTGTTAGATTGTTCAACTCTGTTTTATCGTTGAGTGTCGGTTTATTTTCAACTAAAAATCGGGCTTCTTTAATCTTTCTGTTGATGAGTGATGTTCCTCTATCTACGATTTGAAGTTTAAGCTTTGGGGGGCCTTTGTGCTGAGGGTGACTTTCCCTGTAGTGCTTTGCTAGTGGCTTATCTTCGTAAGATTTTGCTGTTGGATTTGCCGCACTACGGTAATGCTCGTCGAACCTGCACTTGATCGGTCTGTATGTTTCCCCACCATAGTTCTCGGTACAATTGTCTACTTCGCAAGTGATGTGGTAGACGGTATTAGTTGTGGTGCATTCTCCATCGGTTAAAGCTGCGCATGTTCTGCAGTTTGATGTTGTACAGGATTTCTTGTCAAGGGGTCTGGAGTCTGTAAGGAGATCCTTCAGTTTCCGTCCAGGTTTCTCGACAATTTTGATGGGGAGTCCACTATGTCTGACAGCATCTCTGTATTTGCGACTAGTAGCTTCGTTGACATAGCGTTGGAAAGAGTTATTCGCTAACACCAACTCAACTAAGACGCTTAAACAACATTTGAAGAACATTGCACCATTCGAGCAAACTTACACTCGTGCTCCACCTCTAGCAGACACTACCGTCGAGAACAAATTGGGTGCACTTCGACGAGATCTGATCAACATCACCAAGACAGCTCAAGTCACACCCAATCTCACTCCAAAACAACGAACTGCCCTCAGAAACCTGAAGAAAAATGAAGACCTTCAAATTTCCGTCGCTGACAAAACAGCAGAGTTTGTAGTAATGCCTAAAGAAGGTCATATCAGGACAACTACAACTCACCTCAACAATGGAAACGTCTACAAGAAGATCGACATACCACAGGATAAACTGGGCAAACAAAAGTACATAAACAAGTTAACTAAAACTCTAGAAGACGATGTTAACTCAACATTCAAGAACATTGCCAAGAGTCGTAATCTCCCTCAAGATGTTACTAACCTGTTAATGAGCCATCACACCACCCTCGCTACTGCAAGAGTGATGCTTAAAACACACAAGTACACAAGTGATGAGATCAAGACTCTTAACCCTGACACAATGAAAACTAGACCTATTGTTTCAGGCTGCAACTCCCCTTTCCACAAAATCCTTTGGTTCGTCTGTCACATCCTATATCCTCTGATGAATCTAGTACCTTCTCATTTGAAAAACACTCACGATTTTCTTCGAAGGATTAGAAACATCACACCAAATGATCTGAAGAGTCTTACTTTCTTTACAGCAGACGTCGAAGCTTTATACACCAATATCAACGTACTAACAGCACTAGAAGATGTCATGGAACTTGCCAAAGAAAATAGACAGTCAATCAGTACATACGGTCTCCATCTCTCTGATTTACAAGAACTACTAGAGACAACCCTAGGAAAGTCATATTTTGTCTACAACAATCAAGTCTACCTACAGCTTCTTGGATTGTTCATGGGAACCAACCCTGCACCTATACTAGCTACTGTCAAAATGTGGAAACTGGAAAAACTTTCAGTCTACGTAGACCTGAGGATAACACTGCCCACCTACAGCAGGTTTTACGACGATCTAAACGGAGCCACCACCAACAGACGAAAAGCTCAGCAACTGTGCAACCTCATCGAACAACAAGATCCTGACAAACTTATCAAACTAACTGTAGACTACCCTGACAATCAGAACGACTTTGTTCCCTTCCTCAACACGGAAATAAAGATCGACTCAGATGGAATAGTACATTCTAGACTCTACAGAAAACCACAGAAAAAGCCACTCACCCTCCACTACAACTCTCATCATACAACACGTACAAAGAATGCTACTGTTGAGAGTATGTACAACACCGCAGAGGCAGTCTCTAACAACAGAGAAAACGAGAAGTACTCAGAAAAGATGATAGATAAACTTCTCATCAACAACGGCTACACTGATAGAGTCTTAGAAACCATAAAGAATAAGAGAAAACGTAGAAAGAGAATTAATCAGAACGTACAGAACAAAGACCAAGCCGGAGCGATTCTCAAACTACCCTATGTCAACGAAGCTACTAGTCGCAAATACAGAGATGCTGTCAGACATAGTGGACTCCCCATCAAAATTGTCGAGAAACCTGGACGGAAACTGAAGGATCTCCTTACAGACTCCAGACCCCTTGACAAGAAATCCTGTACAACATCAAACTGCAGAACATGCGCAGCTTTAACCGATGGAGAATGCACCACAACTAATACCGTCTACCACATCACTTGCGAAGTAGACAATTGTACCGAGAACTATGGTGGGGAAACATACAGACCGATCAAGTGCAGGTTCGACGAGCATTACCGTAGTGCGGCAAATCCAACAGCAAAATCTTACGAAGACAAGCCACTAGCAAAGCACTACAGGGAAAGTCACCCTCAGCACAAAGGCCCCCCAAAGCTTAAACTTCAAATCGTAGATAGAGGAACATCACTCATCAACAGAAAGATTAAAGAAGCCCGATTTTTAGTTGAAAATAAACCAACACTCAACGATAAAATAGAGTTGAACAATCTAACACAGTTTTTAGTTGAGTGACGTGTAAATAGTAATATTCTCGTTTAATTCTTTTATCTCTTTTAATCTTTTATCTCCTGTATAACGTCACGCTATTCGTTAATTTTCAGATGAGCCCAATTTTGTCAGTTTTATGTTCATATTTGCTCCGATTTCGTTAAAAACTATTTACGGTTGATAACTATTTTACAGTTATATATTTTGTTTGAAATAAATTTCGTCGTCAAATTTTTAATGTGAATATTGATCGTTATAATTGAATTAATACTATTTCAGAATATGAGTATGACGTAGAAATGTCAATACGTTATTCAGCTATTTATTTCCATTAGAATTTGTCTTCACTGAGTCTATTCAGAAACAATCAGAAATTTGAATAAAAGAACTATAAATATGTTCTTCTTCTCGAATTGATTACACTTTGACTTACAGATTAGTCCATTTTCTATCCACACTCAGTGAGTCAAGGATATTATTTTCAGGTTGAAATTGCTGAATCCGACGACTACAAATATGTTGTCACGTGCATTAACGAAGACCTTGTCTTAATGAACGAAAACGCGAAGGAAGTGATCTGCAACACATCTACTGGCTCATATCACACTAAGATTGATCTTAGTCCTTGTCTGAGAGTCATTGAACAAATTTACCCTTGAGCATTGACTCTGTGAAACATAAACTGGGATTGCAACTTGCAACTGCAAGGTTCAAATCATAGATCATATTTTTATTCTTGTTTTAATGTTGGAGCTAATTTTATTCTTGAGGTAGTTTTTATTTTATCATAAAACTCTCAAAACAATATTGAGCGGCGCTCAGTTGTCATACGTTGTGCGCGGCTCCCGATCCCCCTGTATCGTCAGAACGATAGTGAAACGACCGTGGGCAGTGGGGGTCGCAACGTGATACAAGCGCTCAGCTTGCCATTATCCTTATATTCAATTGGTCCTGTGCAGCTCATGAACACAAAAGCCTGAGGTAATCAAAACAATTGCAATCTAACATTAGTCGTCACCCTGGTACTGGTAGTCAGGTTGAGGTAGTGGTACAATTTTTTGAAAATGAATTAATCCTGTTAGTGTTATTATATGTGTTAATGTTATGATGGCAAATTATTTTTTATTTGTGATTCAGATTGGTTTAACAGACAGAAGTCAGAACTGTACTTTTTTTTATTTAACCACTGATATAATCGTAAAATGTTTTTTCAAAGACCGTCGACAAGTCCAACTCGGTGCGCGTCTTGGTTGGTTATAAACTTACAATTTTGTAAAATTAAAACATGTAAACTGCGCTAAAACCATGTTTTCTGTTTTATTTTTTGTTTTGTGCGTTTTCAGCTGAAAGTTTTGTAAATTACAATTTTAAGTTTTACTGTACTATTTGATTAAACTTCTAATATTAATTAACAAAAAGTTGTTATTTTTCTGGTAAATAAAATAAACCGAGTGTGCTAAATCACTCTAAAAGACAGTTGAAACCTACTTGAATCGATGTATTTTCGGACGCTGATTCAATTCCGAATCACCCCCATGACATAATACTAATAGCTTAATAGGGTTAAAATTCTCCCCTGAGGTGATATTGGAGTCTCTGTACAGTGTACAGGCTCCAAGTCTCCACCGTCCTCCCCTATCGACATAAGAAATTGAAACTGGCCATGTTCAATGTTCACCGGAGAAACGTCCCCTAAACCTGAACCCCGCTCTGACATTGCTAGATTCGAAAAATCTGTGCTTCAGGTGAGATATTACTATTAGTTACTTTATCTAAGAGTTACTGGTGCTTCACTAATATCTCACCCCTGATACGAATCCTTACAAATTATTGATAATAATTTTATTTAACGTTAGAAAATAGTGAGAATTGAGTGGTAAGTAAGTGTAGGTTCAAATAGTATCGAGGACTTTAAACCTTTAATCAAGAGATCGTTTTAAAATGAGGTCTGTGTCAGCCTTTCGGGGGAAATTTTCATCGACTTATGACCAATAACCTGATATAATAGACAAAAAGGCTTTCAACAGAGAACTCGAGAAATAAACAAATAGTACAGAAAAAGTTTCAAAAATATAAACTGAATATTCACGTTTAGACTTGGCAGCCATCTGACAGCTTTTCAAACCTAACAGTTACCTCCTCAACTCCCAGTCTAGGTTCCCCAGTATAACTTTGCGATAGGAATCCTGATATACTCAGTACTTTAAGTTTATATTAGTTATTGTTATGATTTGATATTCTATCTATAATTCGTGAGTTCTTCAGAGAATTGATACACTTGTTATAACTTGGACTTGAATCCTAGGCTAAGGATAGAAATGGTTAATAATCATTATATTGCATAATATTACAATTCACAAGTCACAACATTCCTCCTTCATCTTTCAATACCTCGTGTTAGGATAAAAACAGCGCGCATAAAAGTACTGGACATAAATTACTTTATAAAATTTAAAACGTTCTGCGCGTTCCATAAAATCCTTCCTCTCTCTCTTCTGTCATTCAAATACGTGAACATTCAAAGCTTTTGATCCCGAAATAATCAATCAATTCTGGTTT